AGGGAGCGCGTCTGTGAGCCCGGAAGGTACCCCAGGCCGCGTCACCCAGCGTCCCTGATCCCCGGCCTTGGGCAGCTGCAGGCCTGGTCTCCGGCACGGCGGACAAAGGTTGCCGTTCCTGAACTTCGTGCAGACGGGGTCCCCTCCTGGCGGCTCTTGGCCCAGAGTGGTAGAACACCTCGCCGTGCCCAGGCCCCCCCAAGGCCATGCCGGCTGCCAGGCGAGGGGCTTCCAGGCACAGCGTGGCCCCTGTGGGCGCCCAGCCCTCTGCTGTGTTCCGAGGACGCGGCCAGCTGTCCTGCCATCTGCTGGCCGGAGGGGCAGTGGCAGAGGGCCTCCTGACACCTGCCCCTTCATGGGCCTGGAGGGGGCGGCATCGCTGACCATGTGGTCCCTGTGCCCCAGCCCTGGGCCAACCTGAAAAATGCAGACGAGGGAGGGGACCGCAGGACGGGGAGCATAAGCCGGGGACCGGGCTGGGGCCGGTGACAGGTGAGGACACGAGGCAAGGCATGTGCTCGGGGTGCATGGGAGGCAGTCGGGGAGGCCACGACCGACCGTGGGGCTGGGCTCCTGCTTCAGGCCTCGTGGGCTCTGCTCCCGGGACCCAGCTGGGCTGGGGAGGAGGGTCCAGCCAGTGCCCCGGGCAGTGAGCGCGGCTGGACATCTGCAGGGTCGCGGTGGGGTCCTGGCCTCCCAGCGACCGCGGCCCCACTTACCCCGTGTTTGATGTTCTGCGTCCGAGTCTAACAGGGGCTTGTTTCTTCCTGCGCTCAGAGGCTGTAACTTTCCTGCCAAAACGTTTTAAAAGCTGCGTATGCAGAAACATTTTCAAAATTACAGATAATTTTATTAACTACGTGTATGCGTTCTGTTAGTGTGTGCGTCTGAGTTTTTGGTGACTGGTCTGCATGAACACGGAGGGCCTTGGAGCTCATGGGGTTGACAGGTCGTAGGGCAGCACGTCTGTGAGATGAGCCTGTGTGGCAGTGATGGTGAGGGTATCTGTGTGTGTGACAGTGACGGTGAGGGGTGACCGTGACAGTGATGTGTGACAGTGACGGTGAGGGTGTCTAACTGTGTGTGTGACAGTGACGGCGAGGGTGTCTGTGACAGCGTGGGGTGACAGGGTGACAGTGTGGGTTGTGTGTGTCACCGTGTGGATCTCCCCTGCCATCTCAGGGTGGACAGGTGGGGACGTTTTGTGGTGTTGATTAAGGAAATCTGTTTCCAGCAGGGCTGGGGACTCTGGGGACCCGGACCGCCCCTCCCTCACAGGCGCCTGCCCGCGATGTCCTCCCCATGCCCTTCCACGTGTCCCCATGGGGCGACGGCGCTCAGATGGGCTCCTTTTCCTGCTGACGGAGCCGTCCGCCGATGTCCTTGAAGGCAGACAGTCGGGCTGTGAAGCACAGGGAACAGTTCTGTCCACTGCCCGGGGACCTGCCGCACGGGACTGCCCACCGTCCTGGGGGCTCAGCTCAGAGATGTGACTCCCCCAAAGTGGGGGACAAGCTGGTGTGAGGCCTGGAGATGGCAGCCGTCACTGTGTCCCCCTCCAGGGGGAGGTGGCCCGCCCTCACGCCCTCCCTGACCTGGGCCCCTCCCCAGTCACCTTACTCGGTGGCCCCAGCTTCAACCCTCCCCTGGGGCTCTGGGGATCCCAGAGGCCGTGGGGACGAGGTGTTGGCTGTCCCAACAGGTACGGGGGAGGGGCTTGGCTCCGCTTCTCACCTGTAGGTGGGGCGGGAGGCGGGCCAGGGCCTGTCAGGCTGCTTCTGTGCCCCGTGGCGCCGAGTGGTGCCCGTCGCAGGCGGGCGTGGGGTGCCCAGAGGCGCTGGGTGTCCCCTCTGCGGCCCCGCCTGAGGCCATCACCATGGCTGGGGGCCTGTCTGCATCCCGCATGGAAGTCACACCCATCCTGCAGGTGTGGGCACACATGTGTCCCCATAGAGCCAGCGGACCCTGTCCTGCTCTGGAGCTGTGCCCCGCCCC